TGATGCTTAGTGTATATATTTTCTGCAATGAAAATGGCTGCGCTACTAGCCAGGCAGTCACATTTTTGTGCATACATTTTTGATACAGCAGTATTGAAATTATATTTTTAGAGCTAGGGTGATGTCAGGAAGCAGTGTTATATTACTGGTACATAACAAATTTAAACTGAAGGTAACTCTTCAATGAACAAAAATTAGTACTGCAATTGATTATACTCACTACACTGATGTAAATCAAGGATGATTTCATTGCAATCAATGAATGCAAGAGATTTACTTTTCCATAAATGAAATACAAGTCGGATCCACCAATATTTATTTCAGACTAACTGATGAAAATATGAACAAACCCAACAATTATCAAACACAAGCTGTAACCTTTTATCATTCTTCAGTCAGTTGGCAGTTAAGTTGCAGTAAAGCAGCATTTATTTAAAAAGAAAGATAATAACTTCAATGTTTTTCATTTTACTGGCTTTACTTACCATTTACTTACCACATACTATTTTATTAGTGTTTTCAGTTTTTGACAACTATGGTATCCTAGTCTGATTTGCATTGATGGAAAAAAGAAGAGACCAGTTGCCACATAGAATATGGAAAATAATTATTACACTAATAATAAATTTAAAATATGTTAAAAATAGAATTTAGTAATGCTAAATATTCTGCAAATAGATGGAACTATGTGTACATCCTCTGTCATGCTTTGGATATTTTTTTTTTTTGAATGAAGGTCTATTTCTTATGGTTATATTTTTCAATTAATTGTCGATGACCTAGAAATTCACTCACTGGAGCTCAGACTCTCTTGCTTGTATTATGGCATTTAAACTAAAAAGGCAAGAAATCAATTCAGTTGTTTGTGCTGTAATTGACTAAATAGCAAATGTGACACAGGATATTGAAAGGTCAAAATGAGAAGCATGCCCAGAGTACTTATTTGCAAATAATTTTCACAAGTTTTTAATCAAAATTTGGTTAATAATTGAATTATACCTTTTATTTTATATGTTAAATAATTTTCATTATCTGGGCACATCTTTGTATTTCTGTTAAAATTACTGTATCTTTTACATACAATACTGGGTTTAAAAATCTAATTCACTTCTCAGATGACAGATACTGGAAAAGGTGAGGCTTGCAAGGAATAAAAAGATAGTTTTCATAGTATTAAGCTGTGATTGTGATGAAATGTCTGGACTATACTGTGGCAGGCAGCTGGGTCAGCTGGGGAGGAGGTTTCCTGTGTCACTTGGTGGCCTCTGTGCTGTGCTGTGAGAAGGCACCTGCTGCTGACAGGCACTGCAGAAATGATCTGAGCACACAGAGAGCAAGGCTGGTGCACCTCTTCTTCCAGCTCTCTGGTCTTCCCTGCTCCTGGCTTGCAGGATGATTCCTGAGAGATTTTTCTGCTTCAAATTCTTACAGGTCTGACAGTCTGTGCCCCCAGCTCCCAAGCTGCCAGGGGCCTCTGCTGTGCTTCAGGGTAGAGGAGAGTAATTGCCCAGCACAGTAAGGAGCCATCCACCCTGGCTGCCCTCTGTCCCTGCAGCACAGGCATCCTCTCACTCTGGAGAAAGGCACTGTTTCCCTGGCCTCAGCCACCACTTCGTGCTTGCTGCAGCACTCCTTTGCCTTTTTCAAATGCCATCTTTCCACCTGGCCCTTACCTACATTCTGGACTAGAACATATTGCCAGAAGTGTCTTTTTCCTTCCCATTTGTCTCCCTGGGGACTCTCTCTCACTATCAGGTCCTGGCAATAGAGTCTAAGATCAGAAGTGGGCTTCTGCCTAAGTTGGTGCCATGGCTTGTTTCACATCCCCAATTTTGGTGCCCAAGGTCCTGCAGAGGGATCCTGTCTGGCTCAAGGGCTTTACCATGGAGAGTGCTGCTGGGTTCCCATGGGACACCAGCTGTACCATCCCCTCAGGGAATAAGGGCTGACTGGTCCTAGCTTGCTTTGGTCCTTAGGCTCACAGGACACCTCTTTTCTCAAAGAGGATAACACTACTATTGAAAGGATATTAAGGTGGGAAGAGAAAAGATACATAAAGAATAGAATAGGATTAGAACATATGCATTAGTGAGCCTTTTCAATGAATAATAAAAAGCATTTATATGAGATTAAATTCAAGTCTTGTGTGAGTGAGAGATACTGCTTTCTGTAAGAGACTGAATTTTATTTAAGCAGCCTTGCATTTCCTAAAAAAAGGGGTAAGAAGTTGCACAAATATTGACATCTGCAAACCTACCTCTCCTAAATTTTTTTAATAATCTGATAGCTCCTTCTTACATGCTAGTTTCCGTTCATTTTGAAATCACCTATTGTTGACTTCCTTTCTTTTCTATGGTTGTTTTGTTTTACTGTTTTGCCCTTCAAACTGCCCTTCCCTAAAACTTCTAATGATATTTTCTCCACTACAAAGAACTTCAACAGTGTTTGGTATTCTGCCTTGTAAAAATAAAGTACAAAACAAAGCACATTAAAATATTAATACTTTGTTGTCACACTTTTTAAAGATTATACTGTTGGGGATAAAACAGGCAGCAGCATGAATGTAAAGGAGTAATAGTGGAAAGATAAAACAACTACAACTTATCATGCTGAAAGAATTTCTTTACTATGTGTTTGGTGAAATACATTCATATAGACTTAATAATTCCTTTGCAAGAATTTGTGAAATTCCTCCACCTCTCTTTGTTCCCTTAGTCTAAATGTTGCCATATTTCTCTGGATATTGTGCTTGGGGGATAAGTAATTCCCAGTACATGCTCATATCAATAAACATATTGGATAAACTGAATATGTTCTGCAATCTGCTTCATACAGCAGCTCTGCTAACAGGATCTCATGGTTCTTCCTGAGCTTTGAATATATGTGGAGCATCTGGCTTTGCTAAGAAAATGAAGCTAAACTGTAGATCTTTCTTTATAAAGCATTAAATCAGTGTGGTGCTAAGCTACTGTCAGAAAAGTAACTCTCCTCCTTAAGACAACCTGTCCCTTTTCACAAAGACCTGGTATTTTCCACTTAAATAGGGCTTACTAGATATAGGTTGGAGTTTTTCAAGGGGAGAATTAGATAATTCTGCTCTGTGACTGCAAGCTAAGGCAGTTCTCAGAGCCTTGCTCTTTAACTTATCCTATCACTATAACAGAATAAAAAGCTGATCTGGCTCAGGTCTTTGACAGTAATCTTGTGTGAGCAGTTTGGCCAAGATCTAGAGTTGTACTTACTGACAGGTCACGGGGAGAGAAATCTTGAGGTCTTTTCATTTCTTACATCTTACCTGTGCATCAGAAAGACAGCTTAGTCAGTGCTGAACAAATGCCATGATCTGACTAAGGATTTATACACCACAAGGGAAATGTCCTCTTTTAGACACTGTGGTGTTTTGGGGAGTTCTTTCAGGCAGACTCCAGAGCCACAGAAGTCAGTGGAAAAAACAGTGTCAAAGACACCTAGGCAATTCCTCTGAATGGTGGTTCTTGTTTAGAGTGCACCCTTTTAGGCAGAAAATTGCCAGCTCTGTCTGAAGTTCAACATGAGGTCAGGAATAAGCAATAGTTACTGTTATTGCAGGGACAGAGCTAAAGTGGCCACATGTTCAACTAAAAACTCACATAAGATTGGAGCAAATGACATGAAGCTCTGTCAGAGGAGGTTTAGATTGGGTATTAGAAAGAAGTTCTTCACCCAGAGGGTGGTTGAGCACTGGAACAGGATCCCCAGAAGAGTGGTCACAGCATCAGCCTGACAGAGTTCAAGAAGCATTTGGACAGGGCTCTCAGGCACATGGTGGGATTCTTGGGGATGCCTTGTTCAGGGCCAGGAGCTGGGCTTTGATGATCCCTGTGGGTCCCTTCCTATTCAGGATATTCTGTTTCTGTGATGACCATGGGACTTGTCATTTTAACATCTTGCAGATGATTGCTTTTCAGAAGGCGGCTGCACCACCCTGATTCGATATGTGTCGACACAGCTGGTTGGGTTTCCAGCCCTGCTGGCCCGGGCACCCCAAGCAGGGTGGCAGAGGGGCACTGCTGTCAGTGTGAACTCGGGCTGCTCTCTCTCCCGAGTCCTGCCAGTGCAGCACAGGCTGGGGGAGCATCCCACCTCTTCTCCCTCTTGCACTACTGAGGGCTCCTTCCTTTTCCTTGCAAAGCTTCTCTGCAGGGCAGCTGAGGACGTCCGGGTAGGGTGAGTGATCCCAGGAGGAGGAGAGGCGGGGGGGACCATCCCCTCTCTCTGCTGCTGCTGCTGAAGCTGTGCTGGAACCGGAGCCGTCGATGTGGCTCCCCAGAGTTAGTTGCTCAGCAACCAGAATCAATTAATATGCTTTGCAGAAAGTGCAGGGGAAGCCCGAGCTGCTGTCAGCAAGCAGGCAGGAGGCTGAGGGTGACTCAGGATCCCACTCCTGCCTGACACCCATTTGGTCCCACCCCATCTTCTCCAAGCACTCCGTTAGCCACCGTTCTTTTCCCCTTTCTCTTTCCCTATGGTACTTAACACGTGTGTCCCCGAATTCTTCAGGCAAAGTACCTCATTGCTCAAGAAGCCTCCTGCTTCAAGGCTTTTGCTTTTAGATCTGATTTGTATTTTTTATTTTTTTGTCAGATTTTCTTCAACACTTTTCTAGAAATTCTAATATTCATGTTCTTTGGGAAGGGAAAGGGATAGCCGGTGTTTTTGTCAGATGGTTTTAAAGATGTCTCAGGATGAAAAGGGTTGTTTGGTAGTACACAATTGAGAAGCAGCAATGAAAATACACCATGTGTAAATTGGGAAAGTTTTTCCTCTTCCTTTGTTACAAATGATCAGCACTGCATATGTGAGACCAAGGAGGTTGTACTGATCATTGTGAAACACCAAGATAATAGAGTAAATGAGGAGGTGTTGCGGGATTTTTATATCTCCTTTTCAGTGTAGTAATTTCAGGGCTTTGATAAGGTATTATTTTCTTTTTTTCTTTCTTTCTTTGATTTTCTTTGGAGTCCCTCTGATGACACCGCGAATCTGGGAATGAAGAACTTCTTAGAGCTGATTGGAAATGGCATTGCGGAGCTGAAACTTAACTGGAGGAAATATATCTCCTGAAGAAGAAAATATAATGCACTGTAAGGATCTGTCTTCTGGTGAAAAATCCAAGCCTAGAGAAAACTTGTCCGCTTTCTTAGGAAGAATGGGTTGGACAATTTTCTTCAGTTCCAAAGGATATCTGAATGCCATGCTGAGCTTAATCTCTGCAGCATGCTCTGTGCTTCTCATCTCTTCCTGATGCACTGCATGGTAAGGCCTTTTTCCTTCCTTTTAATAATAACTGTCTTTCTGATGTGGTGAGAGGTATAAAATAATAGCAATAGTGAAATGAAAATTGAAAAAATGTACAAATGTAACAAAAGAATGTTTGCTTGCATGGTTGTTTTCAGGAGCAAGTGTCCTGATTACTGCAGCAGCTTTGTAAGATCATTTCTGTCTTTCTCCCTTGCTTTGTGACAGTGTGTATGTGTGTGTGTGTGTTTGTGCACACCTGTGCTGTCATTTGCACTTGGACTGGAACATCTGCAGCTGTATTGTACATATTTCCATGCCAAAGAGGATGTTTAGGAATTTGCTTTGACATTTCTCTCTCTTTTTCCCTCCCTCCCTCCATTCCCCTCCTCCTGCCTCCTCCTTCTTTTGCTCTGTTTCTTTGGGGTCATGGTTCTATACCTTCCCTGCACCTCAGTCATGCACTGACCACTAGAAGGCAAAAATGGGAGGTAAAAGAAATCCTATAGCAATGCAAGAATGGTTCTGAAAAATATTCTTTTAGTAAATAAAGCTGCAGAAAGGTTTTCAATGTCTGCAATACTGTCAGGTACAAAAGATTTATTGTATTTTGTTTCCATGGGAAACAACTATCAAGTGCAGACTTGGATGCTGTGTTTTAGAAGCACTGGGAGACAGATCCTCTTACACATGTCAGAAAGATGAAAATGACCACTGTGAATTATTACCCAGGTCATAAAATAAACAAATCCAGTATGGGATGTTCTCACATCAAGTAATTTTTGCTATGTATTAGAGGAGCATTGAGAATTATTAGAAGTACCTCCAGTGGGTATTGCAAGGTATTTTTTTTAATAGCTGTAATATGGTTTTGTCTTCCTGGATGAAAGGTGCTAGGGGAGTGCAAGGAGATGTAACTACCTGACTTACAAATACTTAGGGTCATTGTCAAGAAATTGCTAAGCAGATCAGGAATTGCACAACTGAGATGGAAGAACAGATTTCTTTTCCAGGAACACTGGTTTATTTGGGTCTCTGTTTCAGAAATTAGGGTAGTACTAAAAGGTGATATAGTGGTGATGTGAAATGTATTTTCTTAAGCATCCTGGTTGATCACTGAGTTTGGAAAGTTGAGGGGTTCTTGAGTAAACTGTGGTAAGGGCCTGCCTCCACTCTGAGGACAACCCCTTGGAAATCTGACTGCTTTTGATGGAGCTGGAAAAGATCAGGAGCAGGTTTGTGTGGCAGCTGTCTTGGATTGTGCAGCTGGCTATGGAGATGACAGGTTCCTGACAGCAAGTTTTCAGGATGGGAAGGATAAATAAAGCCAAATCACAAGAGCCAGGCCACAGCAGGACTCACAAACAAGAATTAGAGCAAAAGATGTAATTTTGTGGTAGTTCCCAATAAATCTCCTCCTTGTATGATGGAGGATTCCATAAGGCAGTTTTTAAAGAGAGAATAGTAATGCAACTTCTTAAAATCACTGCAGCAGGAGGAAGCACAGATGAAAAAACACATTGTAGCATGGCAATATTTCAACAGGGTTCAGAGGAATTGATTTTAGGAGTAAAGGTTCAAAACACATATACCTGTGCATTGAAGCAGAATTTTTGTGTGTTTTACTGTCTAAAATGTGACTAGTGTAAGAACCAATAAGCAAAACTGAGGAAGAACAACACAACCCATAAATGTCATCTTCACTGTCAGAGAAAATCTCTCACTTGTAGAAGTCATCCCCTCAACTCTTTATGTGAACAAGGACTGCATCCTAAATTCAAGTTGCCCATTGCAAACCTCTCCTCTCATCAGCAGGTCTATGTCAATCAGTGGAACAACTTGCATGAATGTTATTGTTTAACCCCAGCTGGAAACTAAACACTGCAGGGCTGCTGGCTCACTCCCCCCTGGTGGGATAAGAGATAGAACCAGAAAAGTAAAAGTGAGAAAACTCATGGGTAAGACGAAGACTCTTTAGCAGGTAGAGGAAAAGCCACACACATTCAAGCAAAGAAAGCAAGGAATTCATTCACCACTTCCCATGAGCGGGCAGGTGCTCAGTCATCCCTGGAGCCAGGCTCCATTAAGTGTAATGGTTACTTGGGAAGACAAATGCCATAATATTGAACATTCCTTCTCCCTTTTTCCTTTGTCTTTCCCCTGTTTTATACGCTGTTTTACATGTTCAAATGACACCATATAGTACAGAATATCCCTTGGGTCAGTTTGGGTCATCTGTACCAGCTGTGTTCCCTCCCAGTCTCTTGTGCAGCCTCAGCCCAGTCTCTGGTGGGGTGGGATGAGAGACAGCAAAGGCCTTGGCACTGTGGAAGCTCTGCTCATCAAGAGCTAAAACATCTCTGTATTGTGAATATGTTTCCAGCGCCAAACATAGTCTCATACTAATTACTAGAAAGAAAATTAACTCTCTTCCAGCTAAACCCATCACATTCTCTGTTCCTTATTCTACTCCATTTACATCATGTTCAGGTGCTACACTATCCAATACATCTTCATTAACCAAACCCCTTCCCATCTTTATATATAATATGCAGATATCCCTCCCTCAGTCTATGGGCCACCCTTGTAAAACATCCAGAAATGTCCACAAAATCTCTGTTCAGCTCATTTAATCCATGACTTTGGGCTCCATCTCTTACAGTGCTCACTCAGAATGGGAGAGGTCAAAACTAGCACAGTGAATAAGAACTACTCATGTGAATAAATTCTAAAATATTTTATAAGACCATGCTCTTTGATTGTCATGGCAACAGATTTATGAGTCTTCAGGCATAATTTGGATTTCCCTTCTAAACAAAATCATTTTTCTTTTTACCTATGCAAATCTTTTGCCTTGTAATTAGAGCAAGAAAAATAGGTTAATTACATTCCTAAAGATCACGCAACTGTACAGATACATTGTTAGAGAAAAACTATCAGAGTATGCAAAAATTTACCTTTATTAGCAGCCTCCAAATCGAAACAAAGTGTATTCTTATTGGAAACATTCATTGCGTTATTATTTTTCTGACAGTAGTAACATTGCTACTGGGTATTGTCAATTTTTCCAGGAACCCATCCTGTGTTCATTTGAAGCACCACTGATATTACAAAATGCTCACTATTATTAGGTTCAAGGATACTTACCCAGCTTTTTACTACATTAAATATGTTCATTTTTTTAGTTAATACATGATGTTTAGCTCTTTAGTTGATACAGGAACATTTATCTTTACAGTATAGAAACACAATATGAAACCATAACTACAGTAAACTTCCTACAGAATATAGATATTTATTGAAACAGAAGGATAAAAAAATCATCTGGGTTTTATTTCCCTGTGCAATTTTGCATGCTTATAAATGTCTGTATTATTAGAATATATATTACATAACAAGCAATATTTAATTAACTGCTGTTTGTAAAGAACAGTTACTTTTTGCATAGGATGTTTTTTCCATGGGGTTATACATTATAAGTAGAAAGAAGAATATTACAAAAAACAAGGATAATTGCTTAATATGTGTCCAGCACACTAATGCAGTAATAGGTTCATTTGTTTATTTTATCTCCATAAGATACATAGTGAGAATAGTGAATTATTTTCTAAAGAATGTGTTATTTTGAAAGAGAAATGTTTACATGATACAGGGTGTCTGTTGTCTTTAGCATACATTACTGCCCATGATTTGCTGTGATTTAAGACACTTTAGTAAAATTTTAAATAATTTAAAAACTTGCACAGCAGCTGCAGTTGGCTTTCTCTGTCAATTCTAAAGCAAGTAAAATTAGTAATTTCCTTTTCTTTTATGATACTTATAGTAAAGGTTTGATGCTGAGAACACCTGTATTTCATTTCTATCCACTGAGCTATTTCTTTAGATAAAGAGTATGAATTGAAACTTGAACCATCTGCATTTTCAGGGAAGTTATACTGAGCAGTGGAAATATTTTCCACACCTGCAGCAACTATTTCCAGTCAAGAAATATGTGGCACATAAGAAGTTCCTGTATCCAAAATGCCTTCAGCTATCTTGATTCAAAATCCAGCAGAAACCTGATTTTTGAAAGGCCTGCTAAAAAAAAAAAAACAAATCCCAAAAGAAACTTGAAGTTTTGTTGTTTAAGTGTAAATGTCCATAGAAATAATATTTCTAGTTCAATTAATTTCAGTTGATCAGCATCTGTGTTTTACATAAATTAGGGTAAAAAATTGAATGTTTTTTAAAAATGATTGATTTAAAATCAATATGTTCGGAAATACTGATGTCAAAATGACACAAGATTTCATTTTGACATTTTTAATCAGACTCCAGTTTGTTTAAAGAAAGCGCACTGATACCTGTTTATCTGTTTTTCACAGTGAAATTTTGTAACTATTTTTTTTAACAGGAAAGTGTTTTGTTGTGAATTTTTTCACTAGATTTTTTTACAGCTGTCTCAATATTTACTGGCTCTCACAAGTCATTCCTTTACCTAGAAGCTTTCTGAAGGGTCATCTTTAGCACTACATATTGCCTAGCCCCTATTACTGATACTGAGCAGCAGTTCTCACCAGGTCTATGATAGAACATAATCACTGATGGCAATTCCCTCCTTTAATTCTTCTCATGTCTTCAAAAAAAAGCCGGTCTCTATTTTTCTGAGTTTTACAGATACCAGAAGTAATACTTTTTACTACAAAAGCCTTCAAGAGGCCTTCAAAAGGCATGCAAGGAGTAGAATTAATCGAATATTAATATCCTTATTAAATAGATAAGGAACTGAGCAACAAAGAAACTGCCCAAAGCTATACTGGCAAGGGAAGAGTTCGGAATTGAACCCAAATGTCCTTATTCTCAGTTCATCACTGTCCCTGCAAGGTTGGTCTTCATTTTGTGCATTTCTTTGCTTAATGACTTATATCTGGACTTTTAAGTTAATACTAGCTGAAGTATCAAATGTGAAAGGGAATTACTGATGCATACTTCCTTTCCAGTCTGACACAGTTGTCCTAAAAATTCTCTTTTCTCTCCTG